TTGTGCATAGGGGCCGCTACAGATCGAAGCTGACTCAATGATACCTAGTAACAACAGAATACTCATTCCCTCTGGATTAGCAAGGAGAGTCCATGCAAGCTATACAAAGGCCCTCCACCAGAAGTCTCAAGTCTAATTTGCCAATCACTCCTAACCCCAACGACGACTCAAACTATTACTTACTGCCATCGAATCCATTTCTACTTAAAGGACTATATAGGACAAGGCTAGAACTGGTCCTGTGGGTTCTTGAGACTGTAACTTGTTTCAGAAGTAGAAAGCCTCGTCTTTCTCCCTTACAGCAGCTAGTAGTTTTGAACTGCCAGTCTTGCAATTAGCAGCCTAACACATAACCCACCAAGTCACCAGAGCTCCATCACTCAAAATCACTAACTATTGCCTTGAAAACAACCCTGTTCTGTCCACTCTTGAATTTCTAGAGTTTAGAATAATGTCTACAGACGATAGGTACTTAAAAAAATGTTTTAATAAATATTTTCACTAGAAAGCTTTTCAAGTTGCTTTAGGATTCAGTGTGTTGTTTTTTATATTAAAACAAGCGTTACAATGCCACTCTGGTGGCATAATAGATTATGCGTTTAGTTGCAACTGCAAGATCAGCAGTCCGAACCCACTCTTTGGGACTAAGAGGCTTTCTACTTCCACAAAGATTTACAGCCTCAGAAATCCAAGTGGGCAGTTCTACTCTGTGCTACAGGGTCACTATGAGTCAAAATAGACTCAATGGAAATGCATTCATACCATATAGTCTATATTTTTCTCCTGCTCAGTTATAGTTCCGATTTTCAAACAGAATGCCCGCAATCGAATTCTCCATTTCCAAGCTTGCGGCCAAGGATCAACAGCCCATTGCTCAATGCCTGTTTCTATTTAGGTCCTCAAAACTAAGGAGGATAATTTTTATGCTTTAAAAGACCAAGAAGAATATATGAGACCTTAAATGGCCCACAAAGTATAAGTATGGTTTTAATGCTTTAAAAGAAAAGACAAAGAATACACTAAAAAGAGCCTAAACTACTCCTATGGGGTTCTCTGCTCTAGTGTCTCAGGGCAAGTGACTTCCCTAAATGCATGCATACTTTCATCTACAAACCAAAACTGTGATTCACTAGACACAAGTCTTTCACCATAAGTCCTTTTCTACAGTTAAGTCTCCAAATTGTAGAACATTATTTCAGCTGAAGAATTTGAGATAATGTTTAAACCAGAGAATCAGTTCATATGATTGAAATGTATTTACCCCCTTGTGTTTACACGCTAAAATCACATCGTTGTTGCTGTATGCTGTCAAGTCCACTCCAACGCATAGCACCCCATAGGACAGGGCAGAACAGTCCAACAGTGCTTTCAAAGCTTGGTGAGATCAACAAGTCTTTTTAGCCTTGGCCCAGCTATTGGCTCAAACCCCCAATCATTTTCGGTTAGCAGCCAAGCATTTAATTACCTTGCTACCAGGGCTCCTTGTAACCACACTGGAGTAGGGGGAGAGTGAACTAATCAAAAGAGATAAAAGCTAATCAAGTAACGTTTGAGCACAGTATTTGCTGTATCTCTCAGGCTAACCAAAAGGTCAATTGAAAACAAACACTAGACATTGGTGAACAAGTTTGTTTTCCACAAGACATGGTTTAGCAATCCTGAAACAACCTTCTGCATATTTTAGGACTGAACAATAAGTAGGACATGTATTGTCAATAACAGAAGGCAGCTTCCTCACTATCAGAGAAAGGAATTAGACTTGGAAAGAGGAAGAGTGAGACCAATCCCACAGTGCTGGCCTGGAACTGGAGTCATGAGGGAGGTAGCTAAATAAGGCATGTGCATGATCACAAATAGGTTTGTTTTTACCTCTGTTCATGGCTCAGAAGTTATGATCACCTAAGTAGCAAAAAAACCATAACTAGAATTCAGATGTTGGTATATAAATGCCCCAATCCACTAACCTCAACTAGGGCTGCTTGGAAAAATGGCGGAGAAGGAACACACAGAAAAGCAGGGTGTGTGTCAAAAGGAGGCAGGAATAAGGCCTCGATGCTCAATCTGGGCAACAAAATAACTTGACTAGACATGAAATGGGCAAGCTTTTTTCTTACAGTAGAATGGCAACTGATAAAAATGAGATTAGAAAAATCACCACTTGGCAACCTCTGTGGTACTGACTCAGGCAAGAACCTCAATGGACACTACAACAAATAAGTAAAAGTTTGATGAGTCATGGAGAATTTGCATAGTTTCAAAATGAAGATAGCCCTTCATTACAAAGGGAACAGGATTAACTAACGGGGCAGAAACCTAGCAGGCATAAGGGTTAGTAGCATCCCCATTAATAGGTACCAGGTGCATCAATCATGTCTGGACTTTTTCTGTCAGAAAATTCCGAAGAGCAGACAAACCTAGATAGAGAGACTTCTAAAAATAGCAAGCTTATTTTTATCAAACATACTCAAAGGTCATGAAAGATACAGACTAACAAAGTGATCTAAATTAAAGGAGACCAAAGAGACAAGTGAATACCAGGTGTGACAGTCTCTGCTCTTCCCACAAAGGACCTTTTGCTGGAATGCTTGGTGTCATTTCAGTGTGGTCTGTAGACAGCCGTGTTAGATCAAGGCTAACTGCCTGATTTTAACCACTGTACTATGATCATACAAAAAAGACACTATTTTTAAAAGGAAATTCACATAACTGTTAGGGGTAAAGGTATCATGACTGCAACTTACGTGTGTGTGTGTGTGTGTGTGTGTGTGTGTGTGTAGAGAAGTGTACACAGGAGTTCTATTCTCACTCTTACACCAATCAATGATTCAGAAGTTGTCAACAAATCAGAAAGTTGAAAAGAATCAAAAACATAGGAAGTTAATTTTTCTTTGGTCATCTTTGATAGTAAAACGTAATTGTGAAAAACGGTGCTAATAAAAACACCTGCACCAGGGGGATAAGGAATAAAAGACCTTCGAGACCCTCCCTGCTCAGACACTTACAAGCTGCATTTCCTGGGTGAAATCATAATGGTGTGCCTGTCTCCTCCTCAATAAAACGAAGACGGCCCCTATCCAGACACTAAAACACTGTGATGGGGGAGCGGAGGGGGAAGCTGAGTGTACATTATTATAAAGTGGCTCACTTTTAACCAATGGTTGGTGAATACAAACTATAAACCAGGCATTTTTCAACATAGCAGGCAGTTGTTAATATAAACTAGAATAGACATTTGCTATATAATCCATCCAACATTTCATCTGAAGGGGAAATGTTTTCATATTAAGGAAAAAATTCCTTTCATCCACAAAATTTTATCATATGCTCAAATATTTCAATACATTCAAACACCTTTTTTTCTTTCAATCACAAGAGTATGTATGGTGTCACCAATCCGCCCTGTTAGAGAAGTGAGAATTCTTAAGAAAAGATCCACTTATTTTTCTCATCCGCTTAAATCAAGAAAATATTTATTTTAAAAACAAAACACTACATGACCGAACTATTGAATTATATATGTGTATTATGTGCCAAAAAACCTGTTTTAATGAATCACTTAGTTTGAATTACATATGAATCTTACAAATTCATAAAGCTGTCACTGCCATGTAACAAAAATTCATCTTTTACATCTGGCTAACAAAAATGTCCTTTAAATTGTATTTTATAATACTGGTTTGATTTCAGATTATCAGAGATTATATTTTAATACAGAATATACAATTTAATGCAATATAAAATTTAATGCAGATAGTCTTATTTTCTCCTTGCTAGAAAAATACAACTAGCTTCTTTAAACAAGATGACCCTTGAATCTCTTATTTTGAATAGCACACAGGCAATCTGGATGCGGGCAAAATGCGTATGCTGGCCAGAGTGGTACGGGGACCCTGTACTGCACAGTAAGGCCCAGAGTCCAGCGTGCCCGTCCAGCCTCAACAGCTCTGTGGCAAGTCTGCTACACACAAGGCTGATGAGAAGAAAGAATAGGGTCAAAAACCCAAGTTCCTCAAGAATACGGTCTTTGCTTATCTTGTTTACCACCCAATTCCAGCTGATAGGGAAGTACAAGGCCCAGGGTCAGTCAGATCTTCATTAAGTACTGGTTAAATTAATGAAAGAAAGCCCAACGCCTATCTGGGCAATGTACATAAAATTGATTAAGTTGCTTAATTGTCTTAATAAAGAATGCAGCATACATTAATTTAATACCCGCAATTCCACCTTTAAAGAAGAGGAACTGATCTATGTTCCTTTTGACTAAATTTAGTGAAGTCCAAGTCCTTAAGGTAGGTCTTGACTCACAGCAGGTAGTCATACATTGATATACTTTCCGCTAAGTTTAAAAACTGGGTGGATCAGCAACTCTTACATAAAACAGAATTAGAAGGATGAAGTAAATGTATAAAATCAAAACCAGAAAGAGCAAATGAGTTTACCATCAAACCTGAGACAAAATGTATTCAGGTAAGAAATCACGGGCTATTGACACATGTTTCCTTCCACTCTATTCAGCTTTCATAACTAATAGTATCTCTACCATACTCTGTTCCTCTATAATCAGATTATCAATAATTGATTTTGTCTTCTTGTTTCTGTATTCCTAGAGAGCATGACAGTAATTTGTCATCTTATAGCTTGAAGAACTTACAACACAAGACAGATTTCATTCTCAACCATTAAATTAAGAGGTTTATAATTCACTCATATTAAATAGGTAGCTGTATTTCTTTGCTTTTAATACAATAAAATCATATTGAGAATTTAAGTAAATGCAGCAAGAGTGTGCATAAGGTTTATCATCAAGTACAATAACATCATTTTTCATTTAACCTACTTTTTGTGAAGATATTCAACTTATTCCCTACTAATATAGTGTAAGTCACAATCCCTATTCTGCTTCCCACATATTGTACATATAAGCAAGCATTATTTCTCTACCAATTGTAAACCTAGCATTTTCCCAAAGGCCTGCCTTAGGTGGGTTATGGTCATCTTACTATGCTTCTTGTGTCCATGCTGCTGGAAAAGCAGTCTGTACAAGCAGGAGAGGAGGGCACAATCCTGAGAGAGAGGAGCAGAGAAAGATGTTGAGAAAACAAAACCAGACACAAGGAGCTCAGTTAAGAGTTCAGGAGCTCAGCCTGCGCTCAAGGTCAAAGTTGATTACATTCTTTCATACTATTAGGACTCAGGTTGTCCAATGTCAGCCAAGGTGGCCCTAGAGAAAGGATTCTGAGGTCGCGTGTACAATCCATAATCAGGTGAGTAATAAATTCTACCCCAGCTAGGTTGTTTTGTGTCACTGAATCAATTCTGTTCACAGCAACCTCTAAAGGACAGTTGATCTGCCCTGTAGGGTTCCTTAGACGGTAAATTTTACAGGAGCAAATCACATGGAGCAGCTTTTGGATTTGAACCACTAACCTGGTTAGCAATCAAGAACTAATCCAGTGCATCACCAGGGCTCCTGAGCCAACTACACACTTTCTTAAAAAAGGAATAAGTGGTCAAAAAATGCATATTGGGGAGAATGAGATCCCCAAAAGTTAAATCAAAATTACTTTAATAAACGCACTACTTTAGAACAATATTACTTTCAATATTCAACTTTGTTTTTCTTTCAAATTTCTTCTTGAATGATTGAAAGTAAAACACTCAAATCTTGTAGGATCTCAAAGATCATTGCCATCAATCTCAATTATCCTTATAGTCCACCTTTTGAAAATGAGGGGGTAGGAATCAAAGCACCTTTTCAATTATGTTAAGTTCTAAACTGGAAAAACAATACCAAAGAGGATTTGAAAACAGAAAGCTTAAATATACAACATAAAACTCAAATGACCTTCAAATTAAAGCAAAACTAATTTATATTTAAACTGGTCTAGAGATCTTCCAACAGGGACCCAAAACAAAAAATGAAGCAGTCATATATTTGTACAGAGGAGAAAAACCGCCAAGTCCAAAAGCACTAACTAACAGCCAAAGTTGTCCAGCTACCTAGTATAACCACTGTCCATTAAAGAAACTTGTGTTTACCTATCTGATTGATAAAGTACTGGGCTATATGTTAAAGTACATGTTATGTACTGGTGATATGAAGCAATGAAAGTTAATGGCCACAGACTTCATGTACCTCAGTCTGGTGAGATCAACACTAATACCGACTACTTGAAACTGCCTGCCCACTAGAAGGGGCAGTACAGGACTGCTGTCAGTTGAACAGAGGACCAAACCAGTAGTTCACAGCCAGGATTGACTACGCCACCCTATCCCTCGCAAGCATTTGACTGTCATAGTTAGGAATGAGGTACTGGCATCTAGTGGGTAGAGACCAGGGATGCCTTTCCTGAACCACTGACAAAGGGACACCAAACAAACAAGACCCCAAATCCATGGGCCTCTAGAATTCTTCCTACCCAACCCACATTTCTGCCCAGCTCCTGCCTGGGACCACCAGATAGGGAGGACGCAGATTGTAAAAGCCCTGTCCTGAGACAAGGGGCACACCTTGGCCACAATAATGCCAACAGAGGACAATGCATATCACTTGTGATTTTAAACCAACTCTGGAAATCTGGTCACATCAAGTCAATGTGACCCGATAGGAAAAGGGAGACTGCTCCTGTGAGTTTCCAAGACTGTAATTCTTTATAGGAGTAGAAAGTCCCATCTGTCCCCCTCAGATCAGCTGGTGGTCTTGAACTGCTAACCTTGCAGGTGCAGCCCAACATATAACTACCATGCCACCAAGGCTCCCAGAGCAGTTTAATGAAAAAGGATTCTAAGAACAAAAAGATACTAAGGAAGTGGGTACCCTGATTAGGAGCCCTGGTGGCACAGTCAGGTAAGCACTGCTAAGCAATTTAAAAGGACCACTGCTAACCATGAGAAAGACAGGCTCCTGTAAGATTTACAGCCCCAGAAACCCTACAAAGGGTCCCCTAGGGTTAAAATCAACTCAGTGATGAGGGGTGGGGGGTGGATATGTTGGGGGTTTTGTTTAAGGATAACTAAAACTATAATGAACCAAGGTAAACAAACAAACTGAAATGTACTTTTCGGAAACATCTCATACCTGGTTCTGTATCTTCCCAGCATACCCAAAGACCAAATGTGCCACAATCGAAATGATTCCAGTTCACAGTGGCCCTGGTACAGACCTGAACAGCCACATAGGGTTTCCAAAGTTACAGATCTCTACCGGAGCAGGTGCTGGGTTGGAAGCTCCAACTTTCCCATTTGAAATGGGCAGGGCTGGGAAAGCGGAGGAGTGGGTAGAGTAGGCACCACCTCAAACAGCAAGGAATCTAGTTACACAAAGAACCTAAAAACTTTAATCAGTGACTCATATTCGATTGTTTTATGTTAAAGACTTACTGTTAACTTTTTTAGGTATGTTAATAGAACTGTGGCTGTTTGTTTTTTTTTTAAGTCCTTAAATATTTAAGGTAGAAAAATCCAACCTAGACAAATAAAACTCAACTCCTCTAGTTACTTTGTGGTCTAAGGACAACAAATGCTTAAACCAGTACCCAGCTTGATCACACAGTACTCGGAATTCCTGAATTACTTGGTACTCACACCCAATTGTCATTTTCTAAAGGGATGGGCAAAAAGAGAGTCTACTGGGATGCCCTGCAGACAGTGGTCCTTGGTAGGTAGGGAGTGGGGTGCCCACATCAATGACTGTATCCCAGCAGCCACAGGACTTTGCTCCCATTAAAGTAACTGTTTAGCCCAGGTGTCTCTTAGAAAGTCTATGTTTCAATCTGGACCCCACTTCTTTCATCCCTGCAGGATCCCACTTCTTTCATCCCAACATAGCGGTCACAGAATTAACTCAAGCATGAAGAGACTTAACTGGAAATTATGTTTTCTCCAGAAAATAGGCATTTAGATACAAGTTCTTAGGCCTTAATCTCAATTTAATTCGTGATGATTAACACTAATTCACCAGACAATTCCTCAACAACTAAAGGCTCTTCTAATAGAGATTTTTAAGTTAAGGTCAACATACACAGAGCTCTTTACGAAGTTATGCCTTGGGGGTGGGTAAGAACAAGGGCCACCTCTCATACAACGCCAGCACAGGTCAGTTCACAGACCACATTCTATCCATGGGTTCCAGATGACGAATCCACATTCTTAACACAAAAGTCTCTCTGGTGTGTTCCTATTTTCAAGCCAATGTCATTTTTAAAATGTCAAATTTTAAAAATGTAAGCATCTTATATGTCACATTAAAATGTGAAATACAGTTGATAAACATGCAATGATTACCTTTAGAGTAAATTTTTATGTCCTAAATCAAATTCATGGAAGTTCTTGGTAATTCAATGCTTTAAGCCAAGCCAAGTGGCATCATGTCAATTATGACTCCCGGCGACCCTACTCGGCAGAGTGGAACTGCTCCCCAGGGTTTCTGAGACATTACACTGTTACAGGAGAGCTCTCTTATCTCCTGCTGCGTAGTGACTGGTGGGTTCAAACTGCTGACCTTGCAGTTATCTAGCAATCCCACACATAACTCACTATGCCATAAGGGATCCTTATGCTTCAGAGATATCTTGAAATTTAGCACTAAGAGATGGGCTCAGCCCAAGGTAAATGTCATTAAAAGTAATTCACTGTAAGTGAACATTCTGAAACAGTATTTTCTCTTAATTCTGTAACTCAGATTCCTTTTTGTACTTTGCAAAACATGATTTAAAATCAAAGTACTGAACTATTTCCCACTATATGCGTATTTGCAAACATTTTCTCACCCTATCAACAAGCATATTTATATTTAAAAATCAAAAAAGCTTAACAAGGTTATTTGTACTGTGCTTAAACCAAAAAGTAAATCACAGTCTTTGGAATCTTTATCAAATGTCTATCCCATCTCCTCAACTATGACCATTTCCAATGCTGTTTCATAAACCAGGCCCATCTTAAAACAGGGCAGAGTTAAAACACAGTAATAAATAAAAGTAAAAGGATTTTTTTTAAGTTCGATCATGGGAGTACTGCAAAGTCTAAAAAGGGGATTAGCATCCATTTAAAGTTTTGTGAAAATTAAATGAGAGCAAAGGTGAAACTTTGGGTTAGGCATGGATGTACTAGGCCTGGTCTTTAATATCAATACTGAAACAATAAAGAGTGACATTCCCTTACTACTATGCCTGTGGTGAGCCCTGGTGGTGTAGTGGTTACATGTTTGTCTTCAGTCTACATGGTCAGCAGTTTGAAACTGTCATCAGCGCAGAGGGAGAAGACTAGGCTTTCCACTCCCTTAAAACAGTTCCTGGCACTGAGTTTATAACCCCTCTTGTACCCAACTAGTAGGCTAAGTGCTATTTACGTGAGATAGAAAAGGGTTTCCAATATGAAGGGGGGCGGGGGGAGGAATAAGCAGCACACAAATTAGGAACCTCTTGGACCAAAGAGAAGCACACTAATAGAGAGGGGCCAAATCACTGCACTGGAAATTAGAATAAGGATTTTTTAAATAGTTATCAAATTGTAACAGTAATTGTATATCAGTGCTTGGTATACAGCAAATAAGAAAGCTACACAAAACTGTTTTTTCACAGATGTGAAAGAAGTCACGGTTGGAAAAACCAGCACCATTCAATAGTATTATCCCTCGAGTTTAAACTCTATATGGTACTGTTATTGTCAGCTGGACCCAAGTACCACAGCCCAACACTGAGCCGCTGCCTGGTGCTGCCCTCCCAGTCCATCACTATAAATAGTGGAATTACATTTCATAAATGGGGAGATACACCCCAAACTATCAACTCCACTATCAAGTCCGAGGTAATGTAGGAAAGGATTCCCAAGTCTATTGCTCTACTCAGTCTCAAGAAGCTGCAAAAAAATATAAAATGTCACGCCCACTACAGAAGCATGCTCTCAAGGATTGTGTCAGCACCCCTCTATTCAGTGGGGCCGCTTCGCAGGAATAGCCTCTTTGCGAAGCTTCCCAAATGCTCATTCTTTAAAAAATAAAATAAAATTAGAAACAAAGATGATAGTTTGTCTCAATGGCTCTTTAAAAAAAAAGGGTTCCATG